GTAAGACCCGTTTATTATTTATTATTTATTTATTTATTTATTTATTTATTTATCAATACACTTGTAGGTGTGCATAATTATGTAGAATAAAAAAATGAGGAAACACACTTAAGGGGGAAGAAGTTCTCTAGCCATTTGAAATGCACTCCATAAATCAGTTTCGCATCGACGCCGCACCATCCCCACATCCCCAGCCAGGTCCAAATCCAGTAAACGCCGTAGAAAACAGATCTCCTAGCACGGAGAAAGCCGGACCCCAGCGCTCCAATCCTCATCGCAGTGCCCCCACCCCAACGCCCCCAGAGCCGCGGATCGCTAGCATGTCAACATTAGCCACATACGGGCCTCAGCGTTTGTGCTCAAAAAGTGAACACAATATATCAATTTTGTGTTATCCTAGATGAGGTGGTGGAGGAGTAGTCACTGAGATCATCGTTTGTACCAATTGACTATTTACAGAACATATGTAACAGAGTTAACTGCCAAGTAGGATAACCAAATCTGAGACCGCAGCATGTAGGGCGGATGCAGTTTGCACCTCATTAACCTAAATACAGACCCTACCGCTGGCTCAGCGGTGCCTACAAGGTGGTTGACTTTGTTGATATATGTATAACATTTTGATTTGAATCACATTCATCTCAGGACAGTTTATGTAGACATGGCAATGGTAATAGGGCACACCACCTCGTAGGATTATTACAAATTGTATAGGTGAACCAATTCCAATCGGAGTAGTGTTTTAATAACGATTCACCGTGCTAGACAAATGCATAGCCAATGCGAATCAAAAATCCAAAAAAAAATTATGCCAGTATAAGGCAGTATGCGATGTCGAAGGCCTTATACGTTTTTAATGTCGTCATTGGTGAAAGGGTTATGCAGTGGTCTCAACCGCACTTTCACGCGCTGGGATCGCGTATCCCCCAAGACACACATGACGTCATCAGAACCGCACCGCCCTCTAGTCATCGTGACCGCTGCCTTTAGCACGTTGACGGCAGCACACGTATTGGCTTTTTTGGCCCCTTGGGCAGAGAGATTTTGAGCTCGCTTGTGTTATATTTCGTTTATTTTGGGCACTGATCGCGAGAGCACAAAAATATCAATATCACACAGTGATTTCTGCAATTATCAATGCGTGGATTCAAGGATTTACTGGTATCATTTAGTCAGAAGAACCGGCAGTAACAAGGAGAAGCGAAAGCTATTAACTATCGCTGTAAATCAATTGGAGAGGTTTTTATTCCATTAAAGGCTACAACCCCCCCCCCTTACAACCTTTAATAAATTTTAAAAATTAAAGTCAAAAATGAATCAAATCAAAACTTAACTGAAGGCACAAAAACCCACAACCATGTCTTGCCATGTTTTTTATTATATTTGAGAATTGATGTCTTTCTATATTCGGACAATGCACCTCGATTTCCCTCAGCTAATTAGAAGATGTGGTAGTGTGCAAGTAGTGAAGACTGGTCAGACTTGTCGCTCCTTCAACACCTTCTTCCGGGAAGGGTGGTGCCTCCCTGGCAGCTCATGGTTTGGTTTCTGAGTGTTCACCTAGCTTGCCGGCTCTACGATGGTGATTGCCTTAAAGTTCCAGCAAATGCCGACGACCTCGTTGTGTAGCATGTCGTTGAGAGGCACCATGGCCGATTGGTGTGGTTAGTGCTTACCGCTTCTTCCACGGTTAGGCCTGGGTCTTCTCCTCCTTTTGGGTGTCATTTCTCCCTTAACTTTTTTCTCTCACAATTTTTTTCTTCAGCGTCATCGCCCTAGACGAACGTATGAGCGCTGCTGGTTCCCTGGACCAGTTTTTCTTTCCTTTTCTTTATGTGACGGTTACCTTAAAGGAATCGTTACGGAAAGACTTTGCCTCTATCCTCACCAGAAACTGATACCTTGGCCCCCTTGCTTCATGAGGGTAGCAGCCAGAACGAAAAATAAACGTTGATTTCGATATTATCCAACTCAACGCACTTTGTCACAAAAGCGCTTCCTGTCCCTCCCACCGTGGCAGATGCGGTCCAGCAGATGGGAAATAACGGCTTTTTCTTGACGATTCCTTCAAAGCGACTTATTACGATAAGAGTGAGTTGGGTTCATAGTGGAAGTGGGGATGCTGAATAATGCCCCAGATAGCGAAAAAAGCAAAGAAATCCGTCTAGAACACGCAAAATGCTACCTTTTTCTTCGCCTGATCGCCTTAAAATATCATTGCCAAAGATGGTGCTGCTGGCAACTTTTCTGATGGGCGGAGCATAGGCGGAGCTCAGAAAGTATTGGCAAGCCCAGTGCGCTGGAACTAGCGCACCGTGAAAAGGCCACATCTTGCTTCTTCCGGCCCTTGCCTACTGCTTCCATTGGCGCATGTACTTCTATGCTGCACACATTCTTTATCCGTTCATCCCTCCTTAGGTGCACGACACTAATTCACTGGAAGCATGCCTATGGATCGTCCAAAATATAAGAGAATAAATAAATAATAAATAAATAAATATAATACAATTAACTAAAATAATAAACAAACAAATAAATAAATAAATAAATAAATAAATAAGCATTCGCAAGGCGAACTGCGTCTACAAACAGCAGCTAGCAAACAAAAACAAGTCAAAATAAATAAATAAATAAAGAGATAAATAGATTAGTAATTAATAAATAAACTAATGAATAAAATAAATAAATAAATAAATAAATAAACGCGAAAGTGAATAAGAAAACGAAGTGGAAATTGAATTGATTTTTCAACAAAGCTTGGAAATCTTCACTAGATCAAAGCCTATTTGACCCCTCTGGGAGGTCTCTTTGCTAAATCGAAGCATATTTGACCATTCTGGAGGCCATTTATCATAGTTAACAGCTACGTTGATGTGTGTCAAGCTGTCGTCAATGTGTTAAAGCCTATCTTGTGTGAACATCAGAATCGTGAATCAGATGTTCAAGTTCGACGCATTCCAGAATGGAAGATGTTTCCAATCGCGAGGTCAACAGAAAGAGTGTGAAGGCTTTTCTAGCGGATTTTGAAAGAGGACATTTGGCAGCGTACCAAAAATCTCAAAAACTGCCTAAAAATTGGAATACGACATCGTTGAAAACTCTTGTGAAAATGAATTATTACAAGGTGGGTGAGGGATTGTTTAGAATTGGAGACTTGGACTTTAGCGGGTGCTAACTTAGTTGGGGGGGGACCACGCGGCGGCGCGGCGCTTTGCTCGCCTGGCGCTCTCTCGAGCGAGATAGTGTGAACTCGAACATTCCAGCTTTTCACGCATGTCAAGTGACTGCCCTCACCCCCACCCCCTAGACTGCCTACAGTCCCCCTGGCTCACGGATTTCCCGAAGTACGCAAAGGTGCCAGGCGAGCAAAGCGCCGCGCCGCCGCGTGGTCCCCCCAACTAAGTTAGCACCCTTCAGGCGAAGGAGCATGGGCGCAATCGAGGGGCCAGTCGCCTGCGCGCGATCTCTGCGTTTTTCTGTGTAAGCATTTCCTCTTCGCTAAATCGGACTAAGCCTCGGGCAGGGGAGGAGGAACTCCAGGATCATAGCAATTTTCATCTTCCCAAAGTTCCTGCCCACTCCTAGGCTTAGTACTACAGGGCCGGGACGAGCAAGATTCACTGGCCCGCCGAGCTACACATTGCGCCGCCGGCGAATGCGGCGAATACTCCAGAAGAAAATGCTATCGATCAGGTGGATGTCAGATAGGTGATCGTGCAGTCGCGATCACACAGTCGCCCAGTCTGAAATAAACCTTAAGCGAACAGAGGAGTGCCCGATAGATCGCCTGAACGCTCACAGACGATCCACTGAGCACAATCCCATTCCGCATATTTCCAACCCTATTCGCTGACGCGACAACGACTAAGATGTTATTGACCAGGAGATGTACGTAAAGTAGTCAGATTACGAAATAATGCAAGGAAGGAATGGGGTGCTAACTTAGTTGGGGGGGGGCACGCGGCGGCGCGGCAGTCTGCTCGCCTGGCATGTTCGGAAATCCGTGGGCCAGGGGGAGTGTAGGCAGTCTAGGGGGTGGGGGTGGGGGCAGTCACTTGACATGCGTGAAAAGCTGGAATGTTCGAGTTTACACTGTCTCGCTCGAGAGAGCCCAGGTGAGCAGACTGCCGCGCCGCCGCGTGGCCCCCCCCCCCCAACTAAGTTAGCACCAAAAATTGCAAGTAGAATTTACCATCGTTGAACCTGGCACAGAGTAGTAGATTAACGATAGTGACGATAAGTGACTAGTTGTACGAGAGAGATAAGGATAGTAGGTAGAATACGATAGTGGCGGTGAAATGAATCAAAGTACCGTCCCGGTGCTAACTTAGTTGGGGGGGGGCACGCGGCGGCGCGGCAGTCTGCTCACCTGGGCTCTCTCGAGCGAGACAGTGTAAACTCGAACATTCCAGCTTTTCACGCATGTCAAGTGACTGCCCCCCCCCCCCCCTAGACTACTCCCCCTGGCCCACGGATTTCCGAACATGCCAGGCGAGCAGACTGCCGCGCCGCCGCGTGGCCCCCCCCCCAACTAAGTTAGCACCCCCTCCCCTTCAAAAAGCGAGAAAGTGTCCGGTGCAGACCAAACACCACAACTGACGACGGCCTCCAAGTAAATCTGGTTAGAAGTTGTTCATAGTGATAGCTGATTTCTGGTAAATGATAGTGTAATTAGTGACAATCGATAGAATACAACTGCAACAGGCTAATCATTTCATTGGCAGAAAACATTAACATTTTGTGAAGGCCGTCGTCATTTGGTGCATGGTCTGCACCCGACACTTTCTCGCTTTTTGAAGGGGAGGGTACGTAACGATCGATTCGCCTGAAGACGCGCGATCTACTCTAGTGACTCCAATCGATACGTATCCAATTTTGTCAGCGTGATGTCCTACTCTACCGCGATCCCAATATCTGTTGCGCCTGTCCCAATGCCCCTCAGGAACGCGAACTGTGAACGAGACACCCCTTTTGGGCAAAAGGAATGTGACCTGTTTCAGGTAGTGGAAAATGATAAGAACAACACGCTGGTTCTCCTTTACACACCCGGTAAAATCGAATCCGTTGCACTGTTCAAAAAAATCGCCGAACTCTAACAGAATGTTGAAAATATCGTGTTTGCAAAGATGGATGCAGAAAATAATGCGCTCCCGATAAATTTTCGTCCTGTCACGAGTGTTCCTTCGGTCCGATTATACGAGGTAAGCAAATTTTGTGCGCCTCTCAAAGGCACGTTCCAAGCTGACTGAGGTGAACGAAGTCAGAAAGGTCCTTCCTCAGCGTTCTCATTGATGAATCCTTCCTTTCTGACAATCCACGAGGAGGAGCCAGCACTGATGGTGAGGTCCATATCATAGCTCCACCGACCACCGTGAAGCGTGTTTTCAGTCGGGGTTTGTACTCAATAAGGCTCAACTTTTTTACTGTGCTGTGATATGGAAAAGAGGGTTCTGCTGCCAAGGGGCCAATAAAAGGACCCAAACACATTTGAAGAAGCGTGCCCAAAAAATGGCGCTTATGTGTCAGAGATCACACCGATCAGAGTGAATCAGTCCGTTGGAAGTCAACGGGGTAGGGGGTCGTATTTGGGGTGAGAAGAGGGGGGTTCGTATTTAAGCGAAGTTAGGCGTTATGGTTAACGGTAACGACGGAAACGACGATGCAGTTGCGCGCTAAAAGTTTTGCCGTTTCAACGTGTATGTATTCCCCCCCCCACCCACTTTTCTTTTCGGAGGAAAAGTGGGCGGAGTTTGTGCTGTGTCGACTGGTCTCATAATCGGAGTCCCATGATGGCGATGGGATGGCAGGGCGAGCGGTGTTGAAGGTTGACACGAGGGGGGGACGGGTGTAAAACCTTGAAACATCGGTCGACGTGCACGGTTGAACCCTGCACACGGATTGCAATGTCCCCTTTCTGAATTAAAGAGCTAACTGGTATCAATAAATGGTAATTTTGTAATTGTTTCTTGCGCTCCGATAAAGATGGAAATAGATATGTAATTGGCGGAGAATACTGCCTAGTTGTAAGGAAAACACAAATAGGCAAGCTATCGAAATACGACTGAAAATACCCGGCTCAGGTTTTGCTTATTGAGACACAAGTCAAGATGATGGGCATGGATCTTTATGTCGGCTGACGTTTCGGCAATTTTCGCACTTCGTCATCAGCAGTGGGAAGCTCAGATGAATTTAACACGTTGACGACATCGCGCGTTTTGGCATTTTTGGCCGCGTGGGACCAGAGCGGTTCTGCGAGCGCCGCCGCCTCACAACAAATCTGTGGATTTTGAGCTTTAAATACGCAATACTTCGATGCGACAAAATGTTTTCACTGATATTCGGTGTGTCAAACTTATTGGAAGGTACACATGTGAAAGTGCGGTCGAATGATGTGTTACAGCATTGAAAAGGCAAGTTTCACTTACTTTTGCTTTAGTGATTTCAAAATTATTTTGGACGTGGTTGTTTCGGTAAAAACACATATCTTGCCACACGAGTAGCTTTGTACTCACTTCTAATATTCTTTTTTATCTACATGTTCGTGTTAATGAAGAGAAAATGAGGAATGAACTGAACGGATATTTTCGTCCGGTCCGAAAAACCTCTGCCAAACTAAAGAATATTTGGTCATTCTATAAGCCGCGTGGTTCTTGGTTATGTTGTGGTATGGCCTAAAAAATGAACACAAAAAACCTGGGAAGAAATGGCGCGTTCAAGAAAAAACTGAATGTAAAGGGTGTGGCAACTATAGTTGCCACAATGTCCATTGCGGCGTGCAAAACGCGGCAAACCTAGTTGCCGCGCTGTCGTCAAGGTGTTAAATTGTGATAATCTCGTATGGAAGCACTTGGGTAGCGTCGTAAGATACAAGTACCAGTCGACTCACCTTACAATGTACGGTAGGGTTTTGCTGAGGCCAACCGCTAAAGTGAACTCAACTTTGTGTAGTCTCTTGTGACGTAGCCCCTCTGCAGGAGCCGACGGCGCTCGAATCTCACAAAGGTCAGCGAATGGTGCGAGTTCACTTGTTATGGCTAGTAATTCATAGGTTTTTGAGGTGCGTATGCAAAAGGCCTCCGAAAGTTTTGCGCAGCTATGGGCCACGAAGTGTGGCTCTGCGTCAAAAGTTCCTTAGTCAGTAAACCTCAAAACTGCGATGCCTCCATGGCATTGCAGCAATCCGACGACCCATTACCAGGGGGTCTCAGGCCTCAATATGCTAGTGGTTAGTCCATCCGAGATCTCCTGATCTTGGAAGCACAAGGGCGCCCTGTTTTGCCCGAAGTACTCCTCTCCGCAGAGCGCACATGAAGTTAGGTAGACGAAGGCGAAAAGGCCGAAACACTGGTCGAATTGAGCTCTTGTATCATCTTGGCTTGTGGCTTCAAAAGCAAACCCGAGAAGAATACCTCACCCAATGCCAAGGTTAATCGATCGTCGATCCTGTGTGCTATAAGGCCTCACATAATGGGCTGTTGGACGGGTCTTATTGAGATGAAACTCGGTCGCCAAGAGGGGTGAGAAAAAGCCAAAGGTGACGCGGCGCCAATTGACCGCCTATGGCTAAGGGCATAAAATTCAGTATTCACTGGGTAAACGCGTCGATCCCCGAAGTGGCAGAGACAGGGTCCCCTCTCATTGGGCTTTTGAGTCAATTTTTGTCTTTCTTTGCTCCCCTATGTACATCATGAACTTTTGCTTTCATTTTTTCAAAGTGTTGCGAAGGCTGCTTCGGAAAAGCGTAGGCTTTTGCCCATTTATCGCAAGCGCCGTCCTTTCAGAATCGGGTGGTGAAAGCTTGGGCGATGTATGTATTGTATTTCCAATTAATGATGCAGATGTTTCATGGAGCTACTTCTTGAACACTTAACCCATGTAGAAGTCGTGTTGACGGTTCTATTCAGTTTATGGGATAGAGCCCTAGAAGGCAATCACAGTTGTGGCAGTCCTCTCCATGGAAATCACTCAACAAGGGCACTAGGGCCCCGCAAAGTCAGCTGAAGCAGCTGCAATGTTTCCCGTCCGCAGCACGCTGTTGTCTGGCGCCCTCTTATCTTCTTTTGCGCTCTCTCATCTTATACCCTCCTATCAGCGCTCAGTCTCTCACTGCCTTCCAACTGGCGCAGCCGAATTACGAAAGTCATGCAACCCCTTTCCAAGAGCGTTTTCAATAAGTTTTTTTTCTTTCTTTTCTTTTTCCCCTTTTTTCTTTCACTGGTGGTTGAAGCCCACCGAAGCGCTATATTTGCAGGCAAAATACCGGTCAATGATGTTAATGATACGAGGGCGATGCTGTAACTGTGGAGGGAATCGTGGCCTTCGTTGAAAAGATAACTGGAATTGTTGTAGAGAGTAAGGATGAGTCGAAAGAAACTGAACAGAAGAAGCACGTGGAATTGTAGATGTGAATTTCAATATATGGCATTGTTTCATTATTACTTATAGGAAGATTGGAGAGAAACTGCCATTGAAATGCCATTTGTTAGCGAAAGTCGAATTCACTACGGGTCTTCTTTTGCATTGTTGAAAACAAAGCGTTTTGGCGAGCGGAAGCGTGTGCGGTTCAGCAATGTATCGATAATTGATGGCTGCTGCCGGAGATGAGCGCGAATTGAGTTTCCCAAGTAGTAGTCCAGCTGGATGTTCTTTTCATGATGCCATAGTAGAGTTACTTCATGGGCATCGCTGGGAAATGCTTTATAATCGGTTTCCCTCCGGATTTTAACAGTGCAAAATTGAATTTGATGCCCGTTCCCGCAGAACCACATGATGGGAGACGTTGTTAGTCCTTTGCCACCACTCTTGGCCCACGTACCTCCCCTTCAAAAAGCGAGAAAGTGTCGGGTGCAGACCAAACACCACAACTGACGACGGCCTCCAAGTAAATCTGGTTAGAAGTTGTTCATAGTGATAGCTGATTTCTGGTAAATGATAGTTGTAATTAGTGACAATCGATAGAATACAACTGCAACAGGCTAATTATTTCATTGGCAGAAAACATTAACATTTTGTGAAGGCCGTCGTCACTTGTGGTGCATGGTCTGCACCCGACACTTTCTCGCTTTTTGAGGTCTCAGGACATCTGTCAACCGTGAGCCTTGGCGGTTCAGCGTTTTGTAGTGATGTCTGGGAGCTCTCACAAGTGCACACTATCACAGCATCTCCTCTTTCTTTATCTTCTTCAAAAGGCTTAGTCCCAATTAGAACTTTTCCAGCTACGCTCTCACCCTTTGGTTGACAGAAGCCTTGTAACCGCGGT